TTTTAAAGATTTTATTTTTATGTAATCTCTATACCCAACATGGGGCTCAAACTCAACCCTGAGATCAAGAGTTGCATGTTCCACCAATTGAGCCATCCAGGTGCCCCAAAATTTTGATTTTTATACTTTAGTTACAAGTTCTATATTTTACAGAATTAATACCTGGTCATTGCCTATTTTTTTTTTTTAAGATTTTATTTATTTATTTGACAGAGAGAGAGACAGTGAGAGAGGGAACACAAGCAGGGGGAGTGGGAGAGGGAGAATCAGGCTTCCCGCGGAGCAGGGAGCCTGATGTAGGACTCAATCCCAGGATCCTGAGATCATGACCTGAGCCGAAGGCAGACACTTAACGACTGAGCCACCCAGGTGCCCTTTTGCCTATTTTTATAAATGGAAAATAGAAGGTATAACATAAATATCTTTCAGTCCTAATGAAAGATTGCTTTGTTTTCTTCCCTTCAGTTTCCTCCTGCTTACACAGGTATATCTGAGGTGAATCAGCCTGCTGAATTGATGCCCCAGTTTTCTACAATTGAGTATGTGATACAGGTAACTTCTTTGTTGTGCATTTAATGAGTGGTGTTAAATATTGAGTTTCTCTTGAAATACTTTGTCTTCTGTGTCCCATCCCTTTCTGGGCAATTTAAAGCTGCAAAGGCAGCAGGATCCTGAAGACTTGGTCCTGGTGTGTGTGCACTTACTGGCATTATTTGCAGTCTTGATGGGCGGCTAGAAAAGGGATCACTGGTTGAGTTCAGCATCTGTCCCCCACAGCCTTCTCCAGCTTTGTGATGATACTCCATCTCTTGTAGTCAAGCTTAAAAACCTTAGGTTCATCCTTGACTTCTCTTTCTCGTGCATTCCATATCCAGTCCACTGGGAAATACCATTGGGTCTATATTCAGAATCTATCCATAGTCCAACCACTTCTTTCCCCCCACTGCTTTAGTCCTGGGCCATCCAGCGCCTCTCACTTAAATTCCTGGGCCGTCTCTCTCTCTCTTTTTTTTTTTTTTTAAGATTTTATTTATTTATTTGACAAGAGACACAGCAAGAGAGGGAACACAAGTGGGGGAGCGGGAGAGGGAGAAGCAGGCTTCCCGCGGAGCAGGGAGTACTGGGCTCTCTTAACCTTCTCCATAATTTAACCTTTTCCCACTTATATTTTATTCTTAACCCAGAAGCCAGAGTAACTCTTTAAAAACATATCACGTTACTTCTGTGTTCAGAAACCTCCAATGGTGAAAATGGCTCTCTTTCACCCAGAGTAAGAGATAAGTCTTCAAAGCCCTGTGTGGACCGGCCCTGTGTTATCACTAGGACCCCAACTTGTATTAGTGTCTCATTCAGCCACATGGGCCTCATGACTTTCCTTGGGCATGCCAGGAATGCTCTTGCCTGTGGGCCTTTCCTCTGGCTCTTTCTCAGGTTGGAATTCTCTTTCCCCTATGACTGTATCGCTCCTTCCCTCTCCTCTGGGTTTTTGCTCTAATATTACTTTCTTAATGAGGCTGCTCTTACCTCTTAAGTAATACTGGAACCTGCCCCCTACCTCTACTCCTTGGCATCCCTTATCCTCTCCATTCCAGAAAGTCAGCAACTTGAGGCAGGCAGGTATCTTTGTTCTTTTGGCTCACTGATGTATCTCAGGACCTGGAACAGTGACTGGGGCACATGGAAGGCATTCAAAAATGTAGAATAAATTGTTGGATACAAACAGTTTTTACATTTAATTTGTTTTAATGTAACCTGTCATTTAATGAGGTGAGTAAAAGTTAGATGTCCTTATTCCCTGTCAGTAAATATAGATGAAGACTTGTTAGTTACATACCTGATTTGCTTTAAAAAGAGCTGGTTTGGTCTATTTGTATACTGATCATCATGCTGTGTTTCTTTGCATAAAGCGAGGTGCTCAGTCCCCTCTGATCTTCCTCTATGTGGTTGACACATGCCTAGAAGAAGATGACCTTCAAGCACTCAAAGAATCCCTGCAAATGTCCCTGAGTCTCCTTCCTCCAGATGCTCTGGTGGGTTTGATCACATTTGGGAGGATGGTGCAGGTTCACGAACTCAGCTGTGAAGGAATTTCCAAAAGTTATGTCTTCCGAGGGACAAAGGATTTAACCGCGAAGCAAATACAGGTTTGTGCCTTGCTCGTACCTAAGCAGGAGCAAGGAGATTTCGTAAACATGAGTTGGTCATTCACTCTAGTGTTATGGGAAATGAGCCTTTTTGGGTTTTTTAGGATATGCTGGGCCTCACCAAGCCTGCCATGCCCATGCAGCAAGCAAGACCTGGTCAACCACAGGAGCAGCCTTTTGTTTCAGGCAGGTGAGCTACCAACATAGAATATTGCACACACAGTAGTGGGCATGTGTGCCAACCCACTGGAGTGAGGGAAGAAAAATGTTAGAACTTTTATTTTCTTATTTTTAGAGAAAAAAAGAAATGATTAAGCCTAAGAATGTTTAACGTTTCAGGATCTATGTAACAATTTGGTATATATTTGAAACTCATGACTAAGTTGTGGATGTACACATACATATGTATGCACACATTCGTGTGGTTAGATTTGCTCGGGATGTCTTTCCCGTTAGTGTCGTACCATCACAAATGTTTTGAGACCACTGTATTCAAGCCTTCCCCTCCTCTTACATATGGCTGTTGTCCTTTTTGAGTCTGAAGTAAAACTAGGAAAACTGAAAGCTTCTGTGGGATGTTCTCAAGCAAACCTGAGACCAGGCACTTCCTTTCCTCAGCCCTTTGAGTGCCTGTGGCCAGGTTAACAGTCAGCAAACATGATAAAATGCATTGCCTGACATGCTGGGGACAGCCACTTACTGTGGTAAGAAACCAGTGCTTCTCTCTGTATTTACTCCTTGGCACACAAGAGACACTTGAGAATCACTTTGAAGTAGATCTTTAGAATGATGAAGGTGGGGGCACTTGGGTGGCACAGTTGTTTCAGCATCTGACTCTTGATTTCAGCTCAGGTCATGATCTTAGGGTCGTGAGATTGAGCCCCAATTTTGGGCCCCATGCTCAGCGAGGAGTCTGCTGGGTATTTCTCTCTCTCCCCTGGCCCCAACTCCCTCTCTCCCCCTCTCCTTTGCCCCTCCCCCCTGCTTTCTCTTCCTCTCTCTCTCTCCAAAATAAATACATCTTAGAAAAAAAAAAAAAAAGAATGATGAAGGCGGTCCACGTACAGGAACTTTACATGGATTGAATTCATGTTAGACCTATCTTTAGGATTTCTCTGCTGCTTAAATTTAATTAAAGTGATTTGTTTCTATTTAAATTCATCTTTTTTTCCATGCTATCTACATAAATTGCCCTATGTTCAGCTTTAAATTATATTCTTGAATAAAATTCCTTTGAAGAAAAAAATTCCAGGTTTTTACTACTCTGAGTAATTATTTTGAAGAGCTGTAACTGTGTCACCTAGGGCTAAAGACCAGAGTACTTTATTAAACACGGATTGATGTGTCCATTGAAAATCATGCAGATTTCTGCAGCCCATTCACAAGATTGACATGAACCTCACTGATCTTCTTGGGGAGCTGCAGAGGGACCCATGGCCTGTGACTCAGGGGAAGAGACCTTTGCGATCCACTGGTGTTGCTTTGTCCATTGCTGTTGGCCTGTTGGAGGTAACTCAGAACTTACCGGGGTGCCTCAAACCATGCAAGTTTGTTCCCACAAGTTGTATTTGCTAGTCTTGTTTGAAAATGAGTTGTGACCTAAATCAATTGACTGCATTAATTTATTATAAAGCACTTCAGTTATTATTATCCACAATGAAGGAGCCCCATAATGTGAAAATACCAGAAGTTTTCATGAGAAACACAAGGCCATTAGGGCAATGGCAAGTACTCACAGTGAATTTATAAAGTGTATGAAGCTGTCAGGTTGGAAGACCTAAGGCTGCTTCTCTGCATTGTCATCTGTGTTATTTCTTACTATCATTAGTATTCAGCACAGCTGAAGAGAACGGTATGGAATTTTTTTTAGGGAAACGGAAGCATACTCAGGGTGGGCTGTATGTTTCTAAAATGCTGCCATTTACTGTTCTAGGGTACTTTTCCAAACACGGGAGCCAGGATTATGTTGTTTACCGGGGGTCCCCCCACCCAGGGGCCTGGCATGGTGGTTGGAGATGAATTGAAGGTTCCTATTCGTTCCTGGCATGATATTGAGAAAGATAATGCACGTTTCATGAAAAAGGCAACCAAGGTAGGTGCTCCTGGACACAGGCTGTAATTCTGGTTACCCAGTGCTGGGTTTGGGCTGCTCTGGAGTGACAGCTACCTTGCTGGGGCCATGCTTTGTGGTCAGCAAATTGTTCTTGCTCAGGTGACCTTCCAGATCCCAGCTGCTGTTCAATTGGTGCCCCAGCTCTGAGTTCTTACTTAAGAGTGGGTGGGCTTAAAACTGCTGAAAGTGTTTTGAGATTGAAAACTTTATGTTTATTGGGTGTTATAAAGAAAACTATCTCCACATTCTTATGTTTGGTTACATCCCTTTGGTATGGTAAGACATACCTCGTGAATAATATTGTTTCCTAAAGGTAATTTTTCTCCATTCACAGCACTATGAAATGCTTGCTAACCGAACTGCTACAAATGGTCACTGCATTGATATTTACGCTTGTGCCCTTGATCAGACTGGACTTCTGGAGATGAAGTGTTGTGCAAATCTTACCGGGTATGTTGATAGCAAACACTTGGGAAAATGGAGCATGTGTATTTTAAGGAAAGAGAAGTGAGTGATGGAAGCACAGGAATGTGCAAGGCTGATTTAGATAAGCTTTCAGAAGGCTCCAGGCTGTCATGTCTGTGGCAGGGAGGGTATATGGGCCTCTTGGAGAAAGAAGCAGTGATTAGCAGGAGGTTGCAAGGTTCACTCTGAATGAATCATACCAGAGTAACTCTATTTCTTAGAGTTGTTAGAGAATCTATAACAGGGCAAGAAAGCGAGCACACATGGAGTATGTGGCCTTCAGCAAGCCATTTCCTTGTGAGGGAGGGGCAGTATAGGGTCTGAATGCCAGAGCAATTAAGAGACCCTTCACCTGACTTAGTAACCATAAGTCATGCCCAACTTGGAGCACATGCTCAGTGTGGAGGGTGCGCGGCAGGGTGTGCTTAGCGCCTAAGTCCATGTCATGCAGACAGGCCACAGCAGAGACCTGTAGTTCTCAAAGCACAGTGGGGCCTCGCCAGCAACCTTCAGGGTCCCCGGGGATGGATGAGAAGTGTACTTCCTTGGGCCTCGCCCTAGACTTGCTGAATCAGACTCTGAGGATGCAGCCCAGTAGTCAGCTTTCACACGCTGTCCAGGGCATTCTGGTACACGTGAGTGTGAGAACTGGTGTGTACCACTGGTCTGAAGCAGGCTGCACACCAGACTCTCCCAGGGAGCTTTATTGTTTATTTTTTTACTTCTATTTTTAAAATTTTTTGTTTGTTTATTTATTTTAAGTAGGCTTCATGCTCAATGTGGAGTCCTGCCGGGGAGCTGTAAAAGCTACTTTTGCTCTGAGTTTTGTCCCTCAGTGATTCTGATGTAGTTAGCATAAGGTGTGACCCAGCATCAACATTTGTTACCCTTCCCTGGGTGTTTCTAACGTGAAGCGGAGTTTGAGAACCACTGGGGTGGACCTTTAGTGTCCAAAGTGTGGTTGAACGCAGACAGCATCAGCCTCGCATGAGAGCTTGTAAGGAATGTAGCATCTTGAGCCGTACCCTAGACCTTTTGTGTCAAAACCTGCATCTGAATAAGATCCCTGGTGACTTGCACAGAACAGTTTGAGAAGTACTGGCATAGAGCTGTGGGGTGTTCCTGAGATTCCTAAGATGTTCCTGAGATGCATTTCTAACAAGCTTCCGGGTGACGCTGCTTGTCCTTACTGAGTAACAAAGGCCATGTAATAGGTAGTCACTTGAAGCAGTTACAGAGAGCAGCAGATGTGTTAGGTGACCGAGGCCCAAATGACACTGACGGAGCTATACCAGTGAGCCACATTTAATAAGATGATTTCCTGCCAGTATCCTCCAGGAGCTCTTGTCTTAGAGCATCCATGGAAAAGCCTCACTGTGTTTGTGAACATCCCCGAGTTTATATGCCAGAGAGTGTGTGTGTGTGTGTGCGCGCGCACACGCATGTGTGTGCACGTGCATCTCTCCTGTGGAAAGGGACCATGACTTCTATCAGGTTCTCAGGGAGGTCTTTGACTCCTGAATAACTTGGTATTTAGGTCACATAATCTGTTGCACGAGTATGGTGTCAGGGAAATGTATTAGCAATGACATCAAAAAGTCTCAGAGGTTTTAGTTGTGGCTCAGTGTGAGCCAGCCATTTGGGATGACTTCCAGAAAAGACAAGGTGATTGTAGGCTGTGTTACAGGAATTGATTATCTTCAGAGAAGATCATAGTCTTGGTTTCCTGGGTGCCAGGCACACCCAGATTATATCATCTTCCATTCTGAGCATTTCAGTTTCAAAGGGATATGTAGAGGAACTGGGGGTGTTCAAAGGCAAGTGGTAAGAGTGGTGGAGAGAACTTGAAACTGTGTCATAAGGAGAATGATTGAAGGATCTAGAAAAGATACCACTGAAGACAGATGGGGCGTGAGATCTATATTCAACAATCGAAGGCCTCTCCTGTGGAGAGGGCATCAGATTTGTTGGTTGCGTGTATGACCAAAGGGGAAAACTAGAACCAGCGGTGGGAGCTGATGGGAAATAGAAATTCACCCAGTATGAAGAAAGACCTATTAACCCTTAGCACTGTCCATGCCTAGAATGGACTGCCTCTGGAGGGCATGCGTTCCTGATACAGGAGGAGTTCAAATCTAATCTGGGTGATAACCTGGCATGGTATGTTGTAGAGGGTTGGTGTGAGTCAGGATTAGGTTTGTGTGAGTGCAACAGAGGTAGGCAGCCAGGGCTGGGATATTGGTTTCATCTTCATTGGGGCTGAGGTCCTTCCTGTGTTGCTTCACCACCTTTACTTTTTACCTGCAGTTCAGGATGGTAACTGGGCTCTTGCTGTGTTTGAGCAGCAGGAAGGAGGAAGAGTCAAAGACAAGCGCCTTCCCATGAGAATGCCCCTCACAAATCACAAAGGCCATGTCCAACAAACAAAGCTGAGTTTTATGGCTACGTGCAAGGCAGGCTGGGAAATGTAGCCTTTTTTTTCCAGGGAACCATGGAACCCCTGACTAAGGAAGGGGCAGAAAGGGTGGACATTTAGGGCCAAAGAGCCATCTCTGTCCCTGGAGGGGTCAGGCACTCTGAGATCGCTGGACCAGATGATCTTGTGTTCTGCCTAGTTATGAAATCCAGTTTGATGATCGATGGCTGGATGCATAACTTGCATCATGCTGTGTTTATCTGCCCTAATATATGAACTGCTGAAATTTTGAACAGTATTTTCCTCTAACTTCAAAAAGGCATGAATATAGTTATCCATACACTAGAAAAGATAATTCACATACAAAGATTCAGTGTTTTGAGGCAGTGAATTAACCTGAAAAGGATTTCCTGCAGGCTTGGGTATTTCCCCTACCAGAGAAGAGTGAGAAGAGCTGGACACATTTTCTCAATAGATACAACCCATTAAACCTGTGGGTTTATCAGTGAAGGGTTCTTTTGTTTTCTTTTTTTTTAAATAATTACGGATTCACAAGAAACCGCAAAAATAGTACAGAGAGGTCTGCCCATACTCTTCCATGTAGCAGCTCCCAGCGGTAGCATCTTACAGAAACGTAGTGCAGCGTCACAACCAGGAACTGACATTGGTATGACATGATGAACTATATTACAGACCCTACTTGGATTTCACCAGTTTGTACAGGCACTCATTTTTTTAACATATAGGTATGCATCGTATGAGACTGTATCATCTATCAATTTGTGTAACCACCACTGTGGTAAAGATTTAGAACTGTTCTAAGGAGTCCTATCTTTGATGTCTTGAAAATAGTGTCTTGTTTAAGTACACATTGAACTTGCTGTTTCCCATTTAAGTTAGTAGCATCTTCATGGATGTGGGGTTTTTTTTCCTTCTTTAAATTACTGTTTGTGAACACTGGGGAAGCATCCAAATGGCTTTTGGTCATCTTAAATGTTCACTTGCTTCTTTCTTTCCTAGAGGCCACATGGTGATGGGAGACTCTTTCAACACTTCTCTCTTCAAGCAGACGTTCCAAAGAATTTTTAGTAAAGATTTCAATGGAGATTTCCGCATGGCATTTGGTGCTACTTTGGAAGTGAAGGTACAATAGCTTTCTGACACTTTAATGGAAGATTAGTGCTCTTACTTACTTAGTAGTCAGACTTAGTAGTCAGACTCACCTTGCTGGACACAGGCATCTAAAGGTAAATTAAAAGGTTCCCAGCAAAATAGTTGAAGAAGGTATACTGATTCTGTCCCTTTGCTTCTTGAAAATGACCTGTATATTAATTAACGTTCTAAACAAAGTGCTCTCTGATTCCCCTGCAGGCTCTACTCTGTCCTGCTCTAGGACATTGGGCCTAAGAATTGGTGGTGGGCTGAGCAAAGAGGCAGCCGCATGGTGTCGAGTGCCCTCGCCGCCATTAGTATGGGCCACCATATTCATAGAACCGTGTTTATATTTAGCACCTGCCCGCAGACTAGCCAGAGTACTTGAAAATTAGTGCAGCACTCTGAGTTTGGGTCTTGTTTTTTCTTGTAGGGACTGAAAGCCCTGCACACTTGATTCTGAGTCACTGAGAAAACATTAGAAGGAGCTGTTACATAATGGGATTAGGATTATTACTTTGAGAATTGGAGACAATCATTAAGTCATTTAGATTAAACTTTAAACAATCTTCTCGAATGTTTGAGGTTGTTTTTTTTTTTTAAGTTGAAAAGGAATAGACTTTAATGAATTGAGATTTTAAAATCTCAGTATATTGGCCTTGATATGTTGGAGTTCATGAATTAAGTATTTTTAAAGCAACATAACGGTATATTCACTGATGAGAAATTATAAATAACTACGACTAAGTACATGGGATTGGAAAAAAATGTAGTATAGTTGGTAGAATTGTTATCTTCTATGTGTATATTTATTTCAAAGGTGAGGGGGTGCCTGGCTGGGTCAGTCAGAAGAGCATGAGACTCTTAATCTCGGGGTTGTGAGTTTTGAGTTCCACGTTGGGCGTAGAGATTACTTAAAGTTAAAAAAAAAAAAAAAAGGAAGGCAAATCCTTTGTTTAAAAAAAATTTTCAAAAGTGAGAGTTGAAAATATTGCATCATTTTTGGAACAAAGTTAATGCAGTTTAAAGGAAGATTTTATTAAAGTTGGCATCAGATCATCATGGGCATGGAAAAGTTGTTAAGAGCATGATCCATGTAGGATTTCTTCTCGGTGGAATGATGATGCTGCCATATTTTACCTGTAAATTTTAATTGTGTCTTCTGTGAGAGGTGGTTTTCAGTGAATTTTAACTATATTCTTGTGTATTTCCATTTTAGACCTCTCGGGAACTGAAAGTTGCAGGAGCCATTGGTCCTTGTGTGTCTCTGAATGTGAAAGGACCATGTGTGTCAGAAAACGTAAGGAAAACTCCATCATCCTCACCTCCTGTGCCCCAGGATTTAACCCATTATAACCCATTAGAAATGTCAGAGCAGGGTGATTTTACATCATGTCACCTGTTGGGATGTGTCTGTGGTGAGGGGAGAAGGGCCAGCTCTTACTGACGACCACAACTCTGAGAGGTGGTGTCATATCTGTCTGTCCATCAATCTATCTAAAGGGTCAGGGAGAGGCTCAGAGGGGTCTGATATCTTGTTCTCTGGGTCAGAGCTGATAGGGAGGAGCTAGAGCCCAGATTCCCCTGACCCCACTGTCCTTGTCTGGGTTTCTCTGCCAGTGAGCCACAACGGTTTCTATTTAGCAAGGCAAGCATTCAGCAAGAGCCTTCAGGAATAAACCTCTGTGCTTGTTGCCCTTAGAGATGATACCTTTGTCTCACTTCTCAGAGACCATTTTGAGTTGGTTGGGCACAAATGACACTCTTGTACATGCAGATAGCTATGTTCTTTGGGTAACAGATTTTGAGAATATGTGAAGGAAGTTAAGTTACACTAAGTGGTGAGGTGGCTTTGCTGATGGCTCACTTCCTCTGCTTATACTTTAGCTGCCAGGAGACAAGCCGTTGGGTCCAGTGAGACCTGTCCAGGGTGGTTTTGGGCGGGGGTTGTCCCCATCCTGTCCTTCCCTTGTTGTCCTCTTCAACGAGACAGTGCTGTGTAGAGCCAGATGTGGATACAAGGGCACAGATCCACCCCTGCCAATTTTGTGTCCCTTACAAGGTATTGACTCACTTTGGGATTCAGCATCTTTATCTGGGAAGTGGGGATAGTAATAGTACCTCACTTGACAGCACTGTTGGGAGGGTAAAGGAGTAAGTTCAGGTAAAATGCTCAGAAGAGCCCCAAAAGAGCCCCTGGCACAATGGAGGCTTAGGCCAGATTTCATCTTTCACATCCTCACTTTGTCTTCATCAGCAGTGAACATTCACCTAGTGACTACTTCGGTTAACCTTTTGTTGAAGTTGCCAGAGACAAAGTGATTTGAGAGAATATTCCTGTAATCCCTTGGGCAAGGCAGGTGGCTGTCCCAAAGCCCATCTGAGGAGTCACCCATTACCCTAGTGTACTAAGGGACTTGTACCCCTAATTCCTGGCGGGGCTTCAGAAGGCTGCCCTGTTCCAAAATATGTTCCATACATTTAAAATCTGCCTAAGAAGGTAATTTCATGAATCAGTACAAGCCAATTAGCTGTTTTAAGATCCGGTAGGGATCAGCCGTGAGATTTTGGGAGGGGGCCTGGAGGATGCAAAGAGGGGGGAAATACAATTCAGCGTACAGAGAAGTTTAAAGAAGAACATAAGGAGTTCTGTATATGCACCATTTAGAGTCTGCACTTGTTAACATTTAGTCATACTGCCTGTCCTCTTTCTTTGCAGTATTTGCTTTGTCTATCTGGTCATTATCTGTCTGCCATGTTCACTTTGTTGTACTTCACAAAACCTTGGAACAACAAGCTGCAGAGGTCACGACACTTAGTTTTTCAGTGTGCATCTTCTAAAATTAAGGATGTTCTCCTACTGTGACATTATATCAAACCTAGAAAACAGTAGTTTGCTCATATCATCAGTGTCTAGTCATATTCTTTCCCTAATTTCTCCCCAAATATCCTTTGTAGCTGTTTTTCCCACCCTCTAACTAGTATTGCATCTAGCATTTATATCCTTAGTCTTTTAAAATCTGGAATGCTCTTCCTGTTCTGCAGGGTTTTTTGCTTTTTTGTTTGATGACAGTGATTTGTGCCAAGCATCCGTGCCTTCTGCAATAGAGTATCACCCACAGGAGGTTTCTATCCTCCTTGTGTTTTCTGTAAAGTGAAAGTTAGATTAGCAATTAGATTCGGGTTAGACCTTTTTGTCCACCACAGTGCCTGAGTGATCTTACACCTTGTACGTTTCTTCAAGATGCACTTCTGTCTGATCATGTGTTAGTGGTGCTGAGTTAGACTGTGTGGAGAAGGTGATGACTGCCCCACGTCTTTCTGTTGCAAGGGCACGTTTCCTTTTTGCCATTAGCAAGAAATCTGTTGAACGAGATCGTAGCAAAATATGAATCTCTTGTTTGCCAATAGCCTTTCACCTTGATGGTTTAAGCATCCATTGATTATCCTTGTTTGAATCATTGTTTCATTGGAGATTATTAAATGGTGATTTCCTGACTTTATCTTCATAATTACTCTGGTAAAGGCGGGGTAAATATTTACATAAGGAATTTGTGTGTTGGTGAGAAAATGTACTTCTGGGGCTCTGGAGGGTTTGTGGCGTGCTCAGGCATTGGTGCTTACAGAAGAGGAAGATTTTTCTTTTTCCTCTACCCATCTTGATTTCATTGGCCGGGCCCTGCAAACGAAGACTGACAAAAGACAGGTTTCGCAAGAGAAAAAATTAACTCATTGTGCATAAACATGTGCATACTCAGGAGTAACTCAGAGGGGTGGTTAGAACTTTGGGATTATGTGGCATCTTAACAAAAGAACAGTAAATCTGTAGAAAAGTGACAAGACACAGGAAAGGCACTTTGAGCTTCTAGGGGTGGCACATGGTGGAAAAGCAGGTAGATGCGCGAGCTAATGGAAGAGAAGGGTTGGTCTTAGCAGCTTTGTTGTGTAGATTTTTCTTGTACCATCTCTGGGCTGATAAGCATCTAGAGTTGCCTTTGGTGATTGAGAACCATCCTGCCCTTCTTGGTAGGAGGAGGGCAGGGAGTTAGGTTTCTTATGTCTGCTGTTTTTAAATTACCTTCAGCTTAAAATAGTCCTTGTCAGAGTGGCATATTTTGTGATGGCATACACCGAGCCCCTTGATTGGAAACCTGAAGAAGTTTCACATATTAAAAATTGAGTTGGTGGGGTGCCGGGGAGGCTCAGTTGGTTGAGCTACTGACTCTTGATTTCGGCTGAGGTCATGATCTCAGGGGTCAGACTCCATGCTTGGTGGGGACTTTGAGATTCTCTCTCTCCCTCTGCCCCTCCCCCCGACTCACTCGCACGCACTCTCTCTCAAATAAATAAATAAATCTAAAAAGAAAAAAGCTTAATTTTAGAGTCCTGTAATACATCTTAAGTTTTATTCTGGCTTGTAATTGTACTTTTTTAAGTTAAATTTAAATGTTCATTTGGAATGAACATTTAACATTTAACATCTTCTAAGTAGCCTACCATTCTCAGAGAGAGTACTTTTCATCAGTGGTTAACCACAGGAATAGCTTTTTTGTTTTTTTGTTTTAATTCCTCTTCTCTCCCCTAGGAACTTGGTGTTGGTGGCACGAGTCAGTGGAAAATCTGTGGCCTGGATCCCACATCTACACTTGGCATCTACTTTGAAGTAGTCAATCAGGTGAGTTGGATTTCTTCATGAGTCTTCATGTCTCAGTGCTGTGTTTTCTGATTTTTTATTTTATTTTATTTATTTTTTAAAAGATTTTATTTATTTATTTGACAGAGAGAGACAGCGAGAGAGGGAACACAAGCAGGGGGAGTGGGAGAGGGAGAAGCAGGCTTCCTGTGGACCAGGGAGCCTGACTCCGGGCTCGATCCCAGGACCCTGGGTTCATGACCTGAGCCGAAGGCAGACACTTAACGACTGAGCCACTCAGGTGCCCCATGTGTTTTCTGATTTATTACAGACTCGTGGCCTATGGCTCCTTTCTGTGCGTACTGATGCTACTTTGGGCTTGTGTTTGCCTGATACCAGTCCAGCATGATCTCTTTTTTCCTTTCAAGGTTTGGTCAGAGTCAGACAGCATGGCTCCTTTCTGTGCGTACTGATGCTACTTTGGGCTTGTGTTTGCCTGATACCAGTCCAGCATGATCTCTTTTTTCCTTTCAAGGTTTGGTCAGAGTCAGACAGCAATTTAGCATATGACTAAATTGTTGGACTGATAAGCTCATCAGAAGGGGAATGGCTTTTACCAGCCATCATAATGTTTGTGAATTTTTGAGTGTGTCAGTTTTTTCCCTAGTATTCTATTTTAAAAAATTCTAATTTACAGAAAAGTGAAAAGAATTTTACAGTGAGTGCGTGTACATCTACCACTCAGATTCTGTAGTTAATATTTTACTATATTTGCTTTGCCACATATCTATTTATCCATCAATTAAATCTTTTTGCTGTTTTTTTTTTTTTTTTTTTTTCAAGAGAGAGGGGGTGTGAAGGAGGGGCAGAGGGAAAGGGAGAGATAGAATCCCAAGCAGGCTCCGTGCCCAGCGCAGAGCCCTACATGGGGCTTGATCTCATGACCCTGAGATCATGACCTGAGCTGAAATCAGGAGTCAGATGCTTAACCGAGAGCCACCCAGGTGCCCCTTATGTTTGATGCATTTTATTTTATTATTTAAAGATTTTTATTTATTTGACAGAGAGAGACACAGCAAGAGAGGGAACACAAGCAGGGGGAGTGGGAGAGGGAGAAGCAGGCCTTCCTCTGAGCAGGGAGCCCAATGCGGGGCTCAATCCCAGGACCCTGGGATCATGACCCGAGCCGAAGGTAGACGCTTAACGACTGAGCCACCCAGGCACCCCATTTTTGATGCATTTTAAAACAAATTACACTCATCAGTGTCTTTCATCTCTAAACACTTTAGCATGCATATCATTTACTTAAATTTAGTATTAATCTGAATATGGTTCCTTTTTTTTTTTTTGAGGTAAAAGTTATATACAGTGAAATGCCCAGATTTAAAGTGTACCATTTAGAATTCGTCAAGGACCGCGCTGTCACCACTGTGTCAGTCGTTTCAGGAAGAGCACAATGGGCTCTGTGACCGTTTGTGTTTGAGTCGTGCCTGTAACAGTAACCAGGTGTATGGCCTGTTGCCTGCAGCACAATGCCCCGGTCCCCCAAGGAGGCAGAGGTGCCATCCAGTTTGTGACGCAGTATCAACACTCCAGCACCCAGAGACGCATCCGCGTGACCACCATTGCCAGAAAGTAAGCAGTCCCGGTTTCCTTCCTGTTGAGCCCTGGATGTTTTTCCTTTGAAGAGATAATTTAGCATCTGTTAGTTTATCTTTGTAATGCCATTGAATGGTTCTCACCAATCTGACTGGCTAATTTGATCAGAAAAGGAGGAGGAGGAAGAGGCTTTGCTGGCCTAGTTAGGTCTTCAGGCACTTGCCCAGAAGAATCCTCTTTCAGTAGGAATAAGTTCGTTAAATATTAATTTTGTTATTATCAGATAAGTAACCCATAAATACATCCTTCTTGTAAAAGATTCAAACAGCTCATAAATGTAGAAAGAATGGGTCTCTTTACCCACTGTCCCCAGAGGTGAAATGCTATTACTACATGGGTGTTTAGTTTCATGGGTCCATTTCCATGGAGTTCTGTACCATAGGTGTGTATAATGTGCATGTATGGCTTCTTGTGTTGGCATGTTTGTAAGCTTTTCTCCCTGTGTGTCAGGGACATCTTCCACGTCAGTATGTACCAGCTGCTCTTCCCCTGTAGTGGCCACACAGCGTTGCATGGTTTGGATGCGACACGTCCCTCGTCTCTTAAAGGAATTTCACATCCTACCTTCCTTCCAGCAGTGCTGTGTTCATGTGTTTAGGTCTTTGTGTGCATTGAGTATTTCTTTCCTGCCGCTTCATAGAAGTAGAATTTTGTTTCCTGTGAAACTTCTCTTCTAAGAAGTGAATTTGTATTCTCCCCAATAGTGTAAGGAGAGTGTCCATTGTCTCATTAATAATATTATCGATCTTTAACATGCCAATATAGAGCAGTTTGCCACTTTTATATGTATTTTTCTGTTTATTAATGGCTTGAACACTTTTCATGTTTATTGGCCATGTATATTTCTTCTGTGATAGCTTTTGCCCATTTTGTAAAACCTATTTCTTTTTCTTGTTCATTGATTTGCAGGGACTTTTTATGTATTCTGGATATGATTATTGTTGTTCATATCTGTTCCTGGTCTGTCTGTTGTCTTTCAGTTTTGATCATAGTGTCTTTATCTGTCTAGAAAATTTTTGTATATGTGCTCGTTATTTCTACCACGGATATGATGTGGAAAGTCATTTTGTGAATTTGTAAACATACAGATTTTTGCAAGATTGACCTAGAGGAAGGAACTGAAGACTTGGGTACCTTTTGGGTATCTACTCTTGTGCTATCTTGTAGAACATTGGGAAGCTCTCTGTAATTTTTCCTTTGTTCTTAAAGCCTTCAGAGATCACATGAGGGTAAATGAAAATGTATGTAAAACTCCTGTGATTCCTTCTTGACAACTGCAGTTTGAATCTGTGTTGCCTTAGATGAAGGAGCAGGACTTAGGTTTCTTTATCTTAACAGAAAGCTGGTTTTCTGGTCTCTCCCGAATGTAAGCGTGGCACTGATTCTGGAATTGTCAGTTGGGCAGATGCACAGAGTCAGCTCAGGCACATAGAAGCAGCATTTGACCAGGAGGCCGCAGCAGTCTTGATGGCTCGGCTGGGAGTGTTCCGCGCAGAGTCAGAGGAGGGGCCCGATGTGCTCCGGTGGCTGGACCGACAGCTCATCCGACTGGTGAGTTGGCAACTGTGGCACCAGCTTCAGTCATAATCTCTGCTCTGTATTTGAGAAGAGAACTCTGGCACATACACCTGTCATTTCATACAGTCAGTCAACAAGCACTTTGTGTTGCTTACCTTATACCTAACATTGGACATCCTGGGAGTGATGTAAGACAGCGTTACACATGCATTTTCCCCCCTCGAGGGCTTACATTACCATTAGAAAGAAACAACATGCACAGGACATTTAGAGAAGGATGCAAATCTGTGTACGGTAAGGGTTGATTTAGATGAGTCCCTGTGGGTCTGTGGTTCTATATTTTCCTTCCAGGTCTTAAGACATTTTTTTTAGCAACAGGGGTCCATTGCCCAGTGAGTGTAGAGATGTGTGTGATTCTGGGTCTAATCAGGAGAGAGAAACCACATAGTCATTTAAAGAGGGAAAGCATGAACAGGCTTGTGGGACGTGGCTGTGCATTTCAGCCTATGCTGGGCACCTGAAGAGACCATGGGAGCACAGATTGGTGGGGAGAAGCAGTGAAGTTGTGGCTTAATTGTAGAATGCTTCATTTTATTTATGAATTTATTTTAATTTTTATTATTGAAGTATGGTTAACATACAATGTAATTTTAGCTTCAGGTGCACTATAGTGATTCAACAATTCTATTGGAATGCCTCGATTTTATTTTTTTCTTTAAATTTTTTTATTGTTATGTTAATCACCATACATTACATCATTAGTTTTTGATGTAGTGTTCCA